TCTCTCTCTCCATAGACGTTATGTATCTTATGGTAGATTGTTAGACTTCTTCTTATGTTTGGCACACTCTTGAGAAAACGCTTGCTTCTCTATCGAATTTCTGTATTATACAACTCCATGGATCTTTTCAAGATCTTTAGCAAGGAGATACTTTAGCTACTACCCATATGCAACATGCCAAGTCATTATTTGATGAATTGGGTGTTGTTGGCCGACCTCTTTCTCTTGAAAACTTCAACCTCTACATATTTCACAGCCTTCACAGTAAGTTTAAAGACTTGGCCACTAGTCTCATAACCAAGGCAGAACCATTTTCATTTGTTGATCTTCACAACCATTTCCTTACTCATGAGTTTTTGCACAAGTCTTCTCTTCCAGCCATGACTATAAATTCATATCTGATACTCATACCTTCTCTGCTCACCTTACTTAGCATCAACACCGATTTGATTTCAACCATAACAGAGGTCGGTCACGCAGCTTTTGGCATCCCAAAAGTAGTCAATATAACAGCCAACATAGGTTTGCTTTTCATGGTGTTAATTCTCCTACCTCTGCAAACTAGAAACAGAGCAATTAGCAGCAAACCAAACAGTCTGCTGGTTCTAGGCAGTGGCCTTCTCACCAGCATTTTGAGCAGACTGTGAAGTGTCAGCTCTACTTCTCCTTTGACCACACTGCCCCTTAATGTGCTCAGTTTCGCAGCAGCAGCCACTAGCCCTCTACTCATCTTACTATTTGTTTCATTTTTGCAAAAAATTGATTCCCAGATACTAGTGCAAACTAGCATATTACTTTTGATCTTGCAGCTGATCGATTCTACTCTTTCTCTTAGGAATGATCACTTGCGTATTGGTGATAATAAGGGTCTTCCCATATCCCATGTTCGGCATGCCATGTTATATTCCCATAAGCACACCTTTACTTTATCTAATATTCTTCATGTTCCTCATATTACCAAATCATTGCTATCTGTTCAAAAATTTTATCATAATAATAATATTTATTTTGAATTTCATGCTTTTATATTTTATGTAAAGGATCTTACCACCAAAGCAGTATTCCTTTTTTATTAGAGCAATAATGATCTGTATGTCTTTTCTAAATCTTCTGCCATGACTATTTCTCAAGCATATTAGTCTCATTATGTCTTTGCAACTACTGATATATGGCATCGTTAATTTGGTCATCCTACTTCTTGTATTTTCAATGTGTTAGTTTCCAAAAATAAAATAATATGTACTTTTAGGTGCTTTTTTATTCAATGTCAAACTTGTCCGTTTGGCAAGTCTTCACGTTTGTCTTTACGATTTATGAGTCATAAAACTTCTACTCCACTTGATTTAATATTTAGTGATGTTTGGGGCCCTACTCCTATGTTTTCATCTGATGGTTTTCGTTACTTTGTTATCTTTATTAATGCGTATACAAAATATATCTGGTATTATCCTCTTATTTCCAAATCAGATGTGTTTTCTATATTTCAACATTTCTAATTGCTTATTGAGCGTCAGTTTTCCCGCAAAATTAAATCTGTTCAAACTAATTAGGATGGTGAACATAGCAAGTTAAACAGTTTCTTTCAAACTATTGGTATTCATCACCGGTTAATTTGTCCTCATACACATTAGCAAAATGGCAGTGCTGAGCATCATCATCGTCATATTGTTGAAATAGGTCTTACCCTCCTAGGACAATGTAGTGCCCTGTTACGATTTTAGAATTATACATTTGAATCATCAGTATATCTCATTAATCGCATACACACTCTTTTCCTTCAAAATCAACCTCCTTTTGAATGTTTGTTTAAACGTACTCCTGATTATAATTTTCTACATACTTTTGGGTGTCTCTGTTTTTCTTTTTTGCGTTCATACTATGCTTATAGGTTGGATTTTCATTCCTCTCCATATGTGTTCTTAGAATATAGTTTTTTTTATATTGGTTATCGTTGTCTTGATTTAGCATCTCACCGTATATATATCTCTTGTCATGTTCATTTTTATAAAAATATGTTTCCATTTGCAAAATCTAAACAGATAGCTCAACCCACATCCACCACTACCCAGCCCACAAACCTGCCCACCTTGATTACCTCCTCTGTTTTCCACCCTACATATCACCACCCAACCCTTCTAGTAGTTATGCTGCCCTTTTTGGCCTACAGAAACAGCCACCAAATTCCCCACCCTCATCTGCCACCATACCATCATCACATAGCCCTGCACTTCTATCACCATCTGCATGTTTTTTTTATGATCATTGTGCAGACACCGGTTCTTCTTCTTCAAAATCTGCAACAGGCTCTTCTTTTTTTTTTTTTTGTGGACATGGTTCTTTGACAGATCCTTTAGCAAATCTGCAACTCTTTGTTGATCTCTCCTTCTATTTGCTTCAGCAACTTTCTTGCTTGGATTTTTTCCTCCTCAGTCTACAGCCAGTCAACATCTAATGGTTCTTCACCCACGGCTGCCAAAAACTGCCCTTCTCACAGTGTCTGCAACTTCTTCCGCTACCATTATCTCTTAGGTAACATCCTCTTCTCCCTTTAAGCCCATTGCTTTCTCTGATGCTGACAAGTATGAGGCATGGCATGGTGCTATACGTGCTGAAATTCAGGTCTTGTGCTCCAATAACACCTGGTCCTTAGTTCCCTCTCAAATGTTGTTGGTAGTCATTGGGTGTAGACGATAAAACATTGTATGGATGGCAGCATTGAGTGATATAAGGCACACTTGGTTTCTAGAGGTTTTATTCAACAAGAAGGCATCAACTACTTTGAAACTTTCAGTCCAGTTGTTAAGCAAATGATCGTTAGATTAGTCTTCTTCATTGTCGTATCGTGTAATTGGAAGATCCATAAACTTGATATTTATAATGCATTTCTCAATAGTGTTATTGCTGAAGAGGTCTACATAAAACAACCTCCAAGTTTTGTTGATTCTACTCTTCCCTTTCATGTGTGCTAGTTACATAAATCTTTATATAGTTTAAAACAAGCTCCACGAGTGTGGTACACTTATCTGAGTAAATTTCTACTTTGTGTTAGGTTTCATACTTCCAAGGTTGACACATTCTTATTTATCTTGTTTGTTAGTGCTGACATCTTCTATCTTCTGGTTAATGTTAATGCAATTCAACTTACGGGTAGCAACTCTACTGTACTTCATCGCCTAATATAGTTACTCATCTCAGAGTTTAAGCTTTGTGACTTAGATACTGTTCATTATTTTTTAGGCATTGGGGTTCAATCCATTACTATAGGTTTGATGTTACGATAGTATAAGTATATTTTTGACATCCTCACTCGAGTTAGTATGACTTCCTGCAAACCAATTGATATGTCTATCTATACTTCTAAAGTCACCATAATGTCGGATCCTTTGTTTTTTAATCCTATATAATTTCATCAGATTGTGGGTGCTCTTCAATATCTCACCTTTACTAGACCGGATATTTGCTTTGCGGTTAACAAAGTTTGTCTGTTTATGCATGCTTCTATAGACTCTTTTTGGGGTGTCATTAAACGCATTCTGCTTTATTTATAGGGTACAACTACCTATTACATATCACTCACAGTTCCTCATTTGATCTACATGGCTTTATGGATGCCAACTGGGTAGGTAGTACTCATAATCAAAAATCCATAGGTGGTTGGTTATCTTATCTTTTATGGTCAAACACCAATTTCTTAGAAATCAATCAAGCAATGCGTCATTGCTCACTCCTTCATTGAGGTTGAGTATAAAGCCTTGACAAATGGCACTGCTGAGGTTATCTGGCTTTAGTATTTATTGAGTGATCTGCAGATTCGTTCTACTTCTGCTCCTACTATTTGGTGTGATAATCTCGGCGCTACTAATTTATCTGCAAATACTATCTTTCATGTTGTACTAAACACATTAAGGTTGACTATCATTTTGTATAAGACAGAGTTGCTAACAAAGAAATTCAGATTCGCTTTATCTCCTCTCATGATCAACTTGTCAATGTTTTTACTAAATCACTTCCTACTACTCCGTTTACTGCTTTTTGATCCAAATTTCAGTCGATTCTCTACCCTTAACTTGAAGGGGCATATTATAGAATGTACCTATATAGAAAATATTATTTATAGAAAATATTGTAGTCATATTTTTGTGTGGTAATCTCCACCATTGCTTGTATATTGCCCTTAAACCTCCCATTTATTCTCAACTTTATATAAACTTATTTTTTGTCTCTTAACCTTTTACAAGTTCTCGTATTATACCATTTCTAATGATAAATTTTCATAATTCGCTCTTTTTAAATGCAATTTTTGTTTTTAATTGTATTAGGTCATATTGGAAATCAACTTTATGAATATAATTTAGAGAAAAAAATTAAAATGTCATAGAAAATTAAACTTACAAAAGGACTAAGTTTTAACTAAATTTACATGGATTAGATATTTTTCTCTTCCAGTAAAAACGCAGTAATTAGATAATAGTTTAGTGCTTCCTTTGAGTTTGCAATATCACAATGTTTAACTTGCAGTCAGATTTAAATTTTGTGCCCAAAAGCCGAGCGATTGTTTTATCCATGAACCCATCAAAAAAAGTCTTTTTTTTATGAACATGGAAGAATTATATTAAACTTTTTATTTCTTAATAAATCTATACCAGTATAGATATTCTTTTATTTTTTTTATTTATTTCTTAATAAATCTATACCAGTATAGCCCAATTGTATATTTTTACTTTTATTTTTGTTATTTATTAATTTATTCAATTATCAAAAAACCATATAAAACAACCTAATCGGGCCTTTTCTTTATAAATAAATCTTTTTACGTTGTATAGATATTCTTTTACTTAAATTTGCTTGAATATATATAATTGTTAAAAACCCTATAAAAATTAAAAATATTCAAAAATCTTACTTTTTCTTTATAACAAAATGTACTTATTTAATGTAATTTTCCTAAGTTCATGTTAATTATAATTAAGTCATTCCAAATAAGAAGCTTTAAACGTCACATATACATGTTTCTTTATCTTAAACTTAAATGATTTCTCTATACGAAAGATGTCTTAATGATATTCTCATGTATGTTATTTATTAATCGCTAATTGATATTGACAATTAGTGAAGTTTGACTACATAATTATAATTCTATAATCTTAAATCTTATTTAATATTAAAATTTTAAACATGACTTATCATGCCACATCTTTTACCCACTTTCCCAAGATGTAATCTTGTGATGTGCTAAAAGGGTTATAAGTTTTGAATTCGATACCAAGGGGGTATTATAACTTTGGAAAAAGCTTTTCACCAGTCCCAACGTGACAAGAGGTAGCTAGGTGATGACTGATGAGCATGTAGGAGTTGTATATATTATATAGAGAGCGAGCTACGTCGAAATTCAACAGAGTTTTTGTCTTTGCGACAGGACATGCATCCATCGTTAAACACCTTGAAAACCTTAAGTTTCTTGTAGTTAGTCAGTCTTTCACAATTTGCAGTGAATCTCATTCCCGAGAGCATCTACCCTAAATGGACATAAGATTTGAACCCAACCCAAACCCTAAAACAGAAACAATTTTCTTCTTTTGCTAGTTTATAGAAGTCTTGATCACTCAAAGGGAGTCTTTGCCAACATGGAATGCCTTGGAACCTTTCCTCCATGTAAACCTTTGCTTTCTACGTTGACCTAAAACTTTTCAAAACAGAAAGTCATGCATCCACTTCAGTAGCTCAAATTACTACAAACATTAAGTGTTACAGAAGTCTTTACAGTGCGTTCAAGATTACCCCATAAGGCTATTTCATAAATTTTAGATGTAGTAGTAAGTTGGAGAAATTAACTAGCTAGAAAGTGACTTGATTTGGAATATCAATTGAAGAATTTAAATGTTTTTCTCCTCCTTTTTTATTTTTTGCTTAACAATCATTAGCAGCCTAATAAAATTTCCCTGAGCCATCCGTATACTGCACAATTTCATTATTAGAATTTAGAAAGAGAATATATTCCAGGTAGAGTGCTGCTCTATAAGCATATATGATGTGTTCACTAGATAGCTCATGACTTACGTACCTGATCAGCTGCATCACAGGACCATGAGCCGTTCTCCTCTTCCAAGCCACTGCTCTCTCCAACAGTATATTCGCAGTGAACAAGGGGTGAATGGGCCCACTGAAAGAGTTAAACATGATCGATTTCAATTGAACGACAATATGTTACATTGAATCGGTTGAGTTGTTTCATTTCCCTCGCTATGCTTCTGCGCATGATTGAGTGTCAAAAATACACCTGAACTCCAGAAAATTAACTTACATTTTTTGCAGCTGTGCTGAAGGCTTCTTTGTGAGCTATTCTTGGATTTTCAGTTTTGATCCTTCTGATCTCTTCTCTGATAAATATATTTTTGTAAGAAAATAGTAATACCAAGGCTAAATCATGTACTAATTAATATTACAAATCTTAACTGAGATCTCTTACCTGATGAAGCGGTTATAAGCCGATGGTCCTCTTTGTCTTTTCTCTGGGGCTACAGAGATAAATAGTTGGTTCAATTAGCTAATAAGTAGATTAGAGCTCCAAAAAGAGTTAATTTACATGATTTTTCCCTATCATTGACTATATAAATTTGATAAACTTACGTTTATTAATGACACGATTCACTTGATTAATATTTCTGTCATCTTCATCATTGTTAAAAGAGATCGCCATGAACGAATTTTGCATTTCTAAGCCTTTTTGGGCATTGACTTCTGGACGAAGCTGTTCTTTTTGCTGAGAAAAATTAAGTTCAACGATTTATCTCTACTGAACACCAAGAACCTCAATATATATGCTAGCTAATAAATTAAGCTAGTTAGTAGTTATAATTTTTCCTGAAAAAGAAAAAGAAAAAACAACTGATATATGTTTGTGTGTGCGTTAATTGAAACCTCATCCTCATTGCTGAGAGAAGTTGAAAGATTGAAAGGGAGAAAAGAGAATTTCTTCATGTTGACAGAGAAGAGGCTGGTGCAGTGTCCACATATCACAGTCACCACCGTGGATAAGCTGCTGCATGGAACACTTACCTACAACATTCGAGAGAAAACAAAACACACAAAATAATTAAAGTTGAACTGCACATTAATCTTGTGGAACTCTACGAAGCTGTAGTGTATTACGAGTAAAATAGTGGTGCAAAAACCACATTGTACGTAGCAAATCTGATCCGGAAGATCAAAGAGATGGTTCAATGTTGACATTTTAATTTATAGGTAACTCGAGAGGTAGCTAGGTGTTTGTGTTGCCGATGATCTTGTTTGTCTGCTAGCTGCGTCTGTGTCTCTGTGAGAACTGCATGGAGTCTTCTGATAGATGGGAAGAATTTATAGGCTTTAGACAGGTTTATATATAATGTACGTACGTATGACAATGCAAGGAAGTACGTGTATACTTTAAGTATGCGTAAATAATCTACTCTCCCAAGGCAGGGATTTAACCGACACTAATAAAACTCAAACCGGTCTGATGGATTGACTCGAAACCGTCCCGGACATTGTTATAACCCGAGTTAATTATAAAAAAAAAACACCCGTGATAACTATGTAACCGATATATACTGACCACCCAATTAATTATTTAATTTAAATAATTCCCATCTCATACTTTTATTGACTTCAAACAACCCTTGAAAACTTCAACGTGATATCTGAATTTCGGACAGTGCCTATTTGTTTCATGTGTTGTTTTCTTTGTTATTTACTCCACCTGCCTGCCTGTCTGAACAACTCTGTCATTCATGAGGGAGAGCGAAAGTGCATCACATCAAGTTTTACCATTAAGGAAGAAGGGTAAATCTCTAGAAGAGCATACGGAGATGGAAAGGAGGCATCTTAGTGTTTGTCTTTGCTAAGAGAAGGTAAGGATAATTGACAATGAGAAGGGTTCGCTTCCACTTTCTGCTCTCCCTGTGTTCGTGTTACTTCCCATCCCCGTTATTTACTTTTAACCCCTCCCTTAATGCCTCGCATCTACTTTGTCAGATCCCTTTCCTTGTATCTCATAGTATAACTTCAATTCTCCCTTTGTTGTTGACTTCTTCTTTTTTTGACTTTTTCATGTGCTTGCACTTGAGTTCTGTAGCCGATGGAGTCTGAAATTTTGTAAGCAAAGAAAAGTTTGATTTTTTTAATCGCAGGAACAAAGAAGCTCTTATTATTGTACAACTGTCATTATTATTAAAAAAAAATAGCAAACACAGTTAACATAAAATTATAATGAATAGAGCTACCACATAAAAATTTTAATTTAGATTTTATTACTAAATATTTGGTTTTCTTTTAAGCATTTGCTTCTGTTAGGATGCTGGCATGCAAACCCGACAAGACAAAAGGTAAGGGACAAGATAAAATGAGAAATGACACACAAGAATTTACGTGGTTCACCCAATTTGGCTATGTCCACGGATAAGTATAGAAGGATTTACTAAGTAATGTGGGAATACAACTTCTCTCTAATAATAGGAGAACAACAAAATCTCTCTATTATTAGGAGAAAAACACCTCACTTACTATCTCATAAATACTTCACAATTTTGTGGGATTATTCTCTCCTCACCCTCTCTTCTTTCTCTCTTGTGGTGTGTCTATAATGCTTGGATGCATTGCTTATTTATAGGCAAACATCCATGCAAAAGACAAGGGCAAGGTGGGTGACACCAAATTTATGCCTAACATTGTTGACAAATTGGTGCCTAACATTGTTGACAACATTGTTGATTTTGTCAACAATGTTAGGGTGATTTCACATTCTCCCATTTGAAGACTTTGATGAGTTAATCAAGTCTTCACACTTAATTATCTGTGCTTCTTCTATTCTTTCTATACTTGCAATCTTCATGCTGCTTACGTTTCTGCTAGGCCGTAAGAGGATCTGCACCATATATACTTATCAGTGTTAACCGGTTTTGTTAAAGCATCTGCTGGGTTTTCCTTTGTGTGAATCTTCTGAAAATCCACACTTCCATCTTCCACCACTTCGCGAACAAAGTGATACTGAACATCTATGTGTTTTGTTCTTGAATGAAACGCTGGATTCCTTGCAATATGCAAGGCACTTTGACTATCACAATACAAAAGAATATTCTCTTGTTTGTGCCCAAGCTCCTCCATAAGTTTCTTCATCCATATTGCTTCTTTACAAGCTTGTGTAGCTGCCATGTACTCAGCTTCTGTTGTGGACAATGCTACAATAGTCTGAAGTTTAGAAACCCAGCTCACAGCTCCTCCTGCAATTATAAACACATAGCCTGTAGTGGACTTCCTTTTCTCAAGGTCACCAGCAAAATCTGAATCAACATAACCTTTGATAGTAAATTCTGATCCTCCATAACATAATGCAACATCTAAGGTACCCTTGATGTATCTCAAGATCCTCTTAATAGTATTCCAATGCTCTCTACCAGGATTTGTCATGTATCGACTAACTGCTCTCACTGCTTGTGCAATGTCTGGTCTTGTACATATCATGGCAAACATTAAACTTCCCACTGCTGATGCATACGGTACTCGAGACATCTCCATCCTCTCTGCTTCATTGCTAGGAGACATACTTGAGGATAATTTGAAGTTAATAGGAAGTGGGGTGGAAATTGGCTTACAATCTTGCATGTTGAAACGTCGCAAGATCTTCTTCAAATAATTCTTTTGAGAAAGCCAAATCTTCCTCTTACTTCTGTCTTGGTAAATTTGCATCCCTAGAATCTTGTTTGCTGGTCCCAAGTCCTTCATATCAAATTCCCTAGCCAACTGTGCCTTCAATTCTTGGACTCGATCTTTGTTGGGGCCTATCACCAACATGTCATCCACGTACAACAACAAAATGATGAAATCTTCTTCAAACCTCTTGTAATACGTACAATGGTCTGAACTGAGTCTGTTGTACCTAAGGCTAATTATGAAGGAATCAAATCTCTTATACCAACACCTCGGCGCCTATTTGAGACCGTATAGAGATTTGTTCAACCTGCAAACCAAGTTCTCCTTGCCTGTTTCAGCAAAACCCTCTGGTTGGAGCATATAAATTTCTTCTTCAAGTTCTCCATGAAGAAATGCAGTTTTCACGTCTAACTGCTCCAAGTGAAGATCAAATATAGCACACATTGTCAAGACTACTCTAATTGTCGTAAGTCGTACCATTGGAGAAAATATCTCATTGAAGTCTATTCCTTCTTTCTGAGCATATCCTTTCACCACCAATCTTGCACGATACCGCTCCACTTGATCATTGCCATCACGTTTTATCTTGTAAACCCATTTGTTGCCAATGGCCTTTCTTCCTTGTGGTAGCGGAACAAGATCCCAAGTATTATTCTTGTACAGAGCTTCAATCTCCTCTTGCATTGCTGTCATCCACATAGACACATCTGTGCTTTTAATAGCCTAATGGAAAGTTGATGGCTCTCCATCCTCTGTTAGAAGACAGTATGCAATGTTACTTTCAGTAACATATTCTGAGTGCCAAGCCGGTGGTCTTCTTTCACGAGTCGACCGCCGAACTTCAGGAGTTTCAGACTCTATTTATTCTTGTTCTTCATGCTCTGGTACAGCTTCAGAAAAAGCATGATTCTGAGTATTTTCCACATGGACTGCTGTAGTCTCCTTTAGAATGCTATTATGTTCTTCCATTTGCATTTTACCTTCTGCAAATATGACATCTCTGCTGATCACTACCTTGTGGGCAGTGGGATCCCACAAGCGATACCCCTTCACTCCATCAGCATATCTCAAGAATACACATTTTCTGGATTTTGAATCCAGCTTGCTAACTTCTTGTGTATTGTACATCACGTACACAGGACTTCCAAATATATGCAATCAAGAATAATCAGCTGGTTTTCCAGTCCACATCTCCATCGGTGTCTTCAACTCAATTGTGGTTGATGGAGATCGATTTATCACATAACAGGCGGTATTGACTGCTTCTGCCCAGAATGACTTTCCTAGACCTACAGCCTTCAACATTGCTCTTGTTCTTTCTAATAGAGTTCTGTTCATCCGCTCTGCCACTCCATTTTGTTGTGGAGTGTATGCCGTTGTGAACTGCCTTTTGATACCTTCATATTGACAGAAGTTATCAAATTCATCACTGGTATATTCTCCTCCATTGTCAGTCCTTAAACACTTGACCTTCTTTTCAGATTCAAGTTCCACCCGCGCTTTGAAAGTTTTAAAGACTGTAAGCACATCTGCCTTCCTTCTAATTGGATACACCCAACATCTCCTAGAGAAGTCATCTATGAATGATACAAAGTATCTTGCTCCTCCCAAGGATATAACCGGTGCTTGCCATACATCAGAGTGAATCAGGTCTAAGATGCATTTGCTCTTAGTTGTTGATGTGCCAAACTTCAACCTGTGTTGTTTACTTGTAACACAGTGCTCACAAAAAGGTAAAGTAACCTTTGTAAGCCCAGGGAGTAACTTCTGATCAGAGAGAACCTTTAAACCTTTTTCTGACATGTGACCTAGTTTTTGATGCCACATCATCGTCTTCTCTTCTGCAGGACTGGCTGATGCGATTGACGTTTCTGCCTCATGATGTGTTTCTCCCATTAATGCAAATACATTTGCAACTATCTTTCTTGCCTTTAAAACCACCAGCGCTCCTTTGATGATTTTCATAATTCCATTGTCTGTTCGGATCTTACAGCCAAGACTATCAAATTGTCCTATAGACAAAAGATTCTTCTTTAAGTCTTTCACATGTCGCACTTCTGAAATAGTACGAATTAAGTCATCATACATCTTCAATTTGATGGTGCCAATGCCGACAATCTCCAAAGCATGATTATCACCCATGAACACTTTGCCTCCAGAGATGGGCTTATATGTATGGAACCAATCTCGATTAGGAGTCATATGCCATGTTGCTCCTGAATCCATTAGCCAGACCTCAGTGAGCTCTTCTGTATCTGTAGAGATTGTCGCTGCTTCACTATATAAAACATCTCCATCTTCTGAGGTACTCGCAACACACCCTTGAGATTTTGATGACTCTGCAGTATTCTCTATACCCTTTTTAAACCAACAATCCTTTTTGAAGTGCCCCTTTTTGCCACAGTTGTAGCATTTCACAGCCTTCTTACTTCTTGATTTGGACCTCCCCTGCCTTTGACTCCCACTAGAGCCATGCTCCGTTGATCTTCCTCTTGACATCAACAATGCCTCTGCTTGGTTTGAACTGTTTCTATCTCCTTTGTTTTTGCGCCTATTTTCTTCTTCCAAGATAGCGGCTGCAACATCATCGAAGACTA